TCTCTACATACAAAAATGCATGAAAATAAGGAAATTAAAAAAACCCTTGACAAATTATTAGGCCATTCGTAGATACTTAAAAATATTTTACATTTTGAAAAGAAGATGTGTGCATCTGGTGAGTTCAAGTTCAAAAGGGTAAACACTGAAAAGCAAACCTCCTTTCCATCCTTATTCCTCATTTTCTTCTCTTTGGAGTCAACTGTTAATATTACTTTTACTTATTTCTGTGTTATCCTTTTGGAGATAATCTGTGCATATACAAGCAGATAAATCTATTTTTATAAGATTTAAAATTTATATTTTGACGCTTTATGAAGTAGTATTTATATCTTTGGGAAGTTGTAAAGCTAGAAGTATTCACACTTTATGAAGTATATAGTTAGTACTCTATGTTGTTTCTTTGTGAAATAAAAATTGATCTTGCAGACTACCATAACGATATATCTTGTATATCTTCCAGTGTTAGTGGTCATAGTTGGCCTATTTTCTGTTTTCAGTTGTGTTGCATTTCATACTAATGTTGCCCTGACCCTTTTATTGGGAACATAAAGTACGAATTGTTTGATAGCAATTGAGGGTACTTAGGTGACTGGATGTTCTGTTCTGATATTAATCCACTTGGCAAAATATAGTGAGCACCTTATCCTTCAACTTGTCCTTTATCCTGAGTTTTCTCAAGTACAAGAGCATATTATAGTCAGGATTTTGAGGCACAAAGGAATTGAGATTTTCGCAGGCATGCTCTACAGCTTGGTAATCAAACCGAGCAACATCACCCAAGATTCCTGGCTCCCTGGCTTTCAGCACCAGTTCACACCAGTTTTACTAATGCATTAGAACTCTGCCAACTGGAGAGGTAGTCTGATGCAATTTGACCCCTGTTATTTCCAGAATGTCATACATTATCCTCCCACCCCCAAAAAGCCTTTTAAAAGCCTCTAGTTAAAGATCTTTTCCATCCTGTATTTCCTTATTTTTTAGTCTGTTTGGTTTTCAGCTTTCCTTTCCCACCTACTGTTCCTCCTCAAACTGCCCCAAAAGACTTTGAGTAGATTTATGTTACCAATCCATTTTACAATCTTAATACTCTAATTCAAAACCCATGTATTAATGTGTATACCATCTGCATTCCTGGAAAGCTAGTCCAGTAGCATCCTGGAAAATGACCAATGAAGGCACCTGGTGTTGCTTTTCAATCTTAAAAAAAAGAATAAGAATTAAAAAAAAAATCCTGACTATTGGGAAGAATTACTAAAGCATGGGATCATGAGGAAAAACTTAAGTTCTCATGTTTGCTTGCTTAGTAAGACTTGTTTTAACATGAATATGTCTTTAATCTTATCGTCCCTCAGTTCATGTATATTTAAATTGTGTATGAGATCATTTTCCTTAATTTACATAGGTTTGAGTTTAGGTGGTTCTGAAGCCTCCAGATAAAAGATGCTGCTTAAATTCTACCATTATTTTGACAGTGACAGTTTGCCCTTCCCACACACTTTTTGAACTGCCGATTGTACGGGAGGTAGCAATGCTATCTTTGTTCTTTGACTTTTTTGTTAAACATTTCTAAAAATCCTGTTGGCATTCTGCTTGAGACAGGTCTTTGATAAGAGCTATGGTGCCTGTCGCTAGTGGCATAGCACCTGCTCTATGTTGTCTGCTGTTGGTGGTGAGAACTTTGCATTGAAAAAGAACCTTTCAACCTGAAGTTCCTGTAGCCCCAGATGAACACAATGCAGTTCAATTTTGACACCGTCAGTTGGAATAGAGGGCAGCAGCTATGCAATTATCACTCTGTGTGGATAGAAAGAACAAACTATCTTATGCTAAAGCAGGCTCTTTCCTTAAGCTTACAAATGAGAATTTTAAACAGAGGGTGCCCTGTATTTTCAAGGTGACTTGTGATATGTGCATTATGAAATATATTTCATAGTCTAACCTTTGGTAAATTGTACAGATAAAACTTTTGTTCAGTGGATAGATGTGCTTGGTGAGCATGTACTGTATGGGCATTGGTGAACTGAATTCACAAGTCAAGTAGACATGGTCCTAGCAGTAATCAAGGAAATGGGCCAAGTTTAACAACCACTTTTATATTGATGCTTTTTTCAAATTCTTTTTAAAGACCTGAGAGGAAAGATTAGACTATCCATAGGTAAGAAAATTAAAGTAGAGAGAGATTAGATAACTAGCTTATGTTTTACCCAGCTAGTGAGAGAGCCTAAATTTCCTGTCCATGTGCTTTCTACCTTACTACAACCTCCTCTTATAATTAATAACATTTGTATATTTTAGAGCTTTATGACACCCCTGTAATCCCAATAGTGCACTTGTGTATTTTAGGGCTCTATAGCAACCCTATAATCCAAGTAATATAGATGTTAATATCTTATTTTATAAAGTTGGACATTTGAACCTCAGAGAAATACAGTGACTTGCCTGACAGCACAAAACTATTAAGTGGTCAGAACTGGGTGGGGCTTTAATCTACCCTCCATCTTAAATTCTCTGTCCTTTCTACTTAGTATCCCGGAGGCTAGTGATTTTAATACTCAGCAACATTTATCCAGTCCTTACCAGGTATATTATACTGTGTCTGATGCTATTAATTGATACTGAAAGAAATAGAATTATATAGTTCCACTCTTCTTTATAATTTAATGGTGAAGATAGGATAATCACTTGAGAGAAAAATACCTAACATTTGGTATAATTGAACTGTATAAACAAAAGTAAACCAGTGCGACTATAGAGAAATAAATATGTCATCACTAATGGTAAACAATTGGAAGCATTATCTGGCTAGTATTAAACAGCCCTCTGAGAACCTTTTAAATGCTCATTTCTGCTGGCTTCTAGAAAAAGTACCAGTAGTCATTTTCAGCCTCTCTACCTTTACTGGTTTCTTCCTTATAATCTCTAACCATGTTCAGGTCTCTCCTATTTTAAGAGAAAAAGTCTTGACAACTTCGCCCAATTCCCTACTCTCTTCTGTTCCTGCGTAGCTTACCATCCATCCTCCTTCTCCATTCTCATCAAAGCTTCTCAAAATGTTGGCTAGATACTCTAATTTCTGGTTGTTTCTTTTCTTTTTCTTTATGACTCTGATTCCTCTGCCTGTCCCTTAAATATCAGTGACCCCAGAGTTCTATCGTCTTACTGTTCTTATTTATAACATTTCCTATATCCTGATGATATCCAAATCTTCACATTTAGCTCACATTGCTCAAGCAACTTCAAACTGTTTCCCTGGATATTCCATACATGTACCAAATTGAACATGTATAAAGTGGAATTCATCATTTTCTGCCTTAAAGCTGGCTCTGTTCGCTTGTTAGTTAATGGTATCTTGAGTCACCTGATCACGTGTACTAGAAACCTAGGAGTTAGCCTTGACTCCAGCTTCTCCCTCAACCCCTGTAATTTCTGAAAAGCTTGCTTCCTAGAGTGATCTTGGATTCGCCACTGCTTTGTATTTCTTCTACTACTGTATCACTTCTGGTCCTCATCGTCTCTCTCCTATATTTTTGCAATAACTTCCTAACTCTTTTCCCTGCCTGCAATCTTGTTTCCTTCATATTTATCAGTTACATAATTGCCAGGGCAAGTTCTCCCCCAAAATTTGTTGTTGAATTCCCTTCCCTAAAACCTTTTATATTTGTTCAGGATAAGGTTCAGCCTCTTAATGTGGCATACAAGATCTCCTCTAAGATTCCTAATTAGATAACTCCTGATGATGTCTTCGATGAGCATGGTGCTTTGGCAACACCAGATCTCTTGTGCTTACTCACGTATACCGTTGTACATTCTGTAGCTTTTTGCACGATATCCCTTCTTTGAGTACTCAGTATCCTCCTGCCTTTTTCTGATTGTTTTAATAAAATAAAATAGCCTGATACCCATAGTTTAAATACAGAGGTCTATTATAGTTGCCTGTATTTTGATTAATATTTAATACAGAGAATAGGCTAGTCCCTTCAGACAATGGGTTATCAGGCTGTCAGAAGTTAGCATGTTACTTAATATTACCTGTTTTAACATGTGCATGAGTACTGACTAGCAAGATGCTGGAGTTACTGAATGTTTGGACCCTTAGCTGAGATTAAACAGAAAAGATTCTACCCAAACTCAGAACCCAAAGAAGTGACATTCTGTATTAGTTAGGACTAGGTCCAGTTGTAAATAACTGAAAAGTTGAAAAGAATAGTGACTTAAATAAAATAGATTATTTTTATCTGTCACCAAAAATTTCAGAGATATATATCAGTATGGCAGCTCAGTTCCATGAAGTCTTCAGGGACTCAGGTTCCTATCAGCTCTTTGCTCCACCTTAGTTAGGGTGTATTCCTTTGGCTCATTGTCCAGTGGCATCAGTTTTCTAAGGAACAGAATGGAGGAAGAGTCAAAGATGGAGTGAAAATGGTACACTCTGGCTATTTTTAAAGGATGATTCCTGAAAGCTGCCACAGAATACTTTATTTCTATCTCATCAGCTAGAACTTAGTCATATACTCATTCCTAAGTGTAAGTAGCCATGTATACAGTTAAAGGTTCCTTTACCATGGAAAAAGAAGAGAGTGGATTTTGAGGGGTAGATATTAAAGGATTCATCTGCACTATTCAGCCTGGTGTTCAATCTATAACTTCTTTTCCAGCCGTTTTTCCAATCACTTTACCACATGAACCCTATACACCAGCAAAAATTTTCTTGTTATCCTTGGTCAGAAGTGATCACCTCCTTTTCTAAATCTTATAATACTTTTCATCTGTATAGCAAATACCCTATCTTGAACTGTTATTGCTGTCATTTGTCTGCATATATAGCTTCTCTAAATCATAAGGTTTCACCACAATGTTGGTTTCTGGGGGGCAGTTACCATGTATTATGTGTCTTGCAATGCCTACCTAGTCTAGTGTGTTGTAAATAATTGGTTTTCAATAAATATTTCTTACATAAGTAAATAAATACTTTTGATGATTTTTTTGGTTTTTTATAGCATTTTAGGAAAGAAAGATGGATCAACCTAGTGGAAGAAGTTTTATGCAAGTATTATGTGAAAAATACAGTCCTGAAAACTTTCCTTACCGCCGTGGTCCTGGGATGGGAGTCCATGTCCCAGCCACACCTCAGGGCTCTCCTATGAAAGGTAAGAAAGATAGGACCTAAAACAATTATTTGCTGGAGCTTACTTAAGAAGCTGAAATCACAGTATTGCTTTGTTTGCCAGTGATTTCCTTTATTTTTAATTATGAGTCAAATAGTCTTTCCCATTATTATGATTTCAGTTTTCCTTAAGAACCTGACAGGACTAGTTTTCTTCCAGATTGTCCAAGAGGCATTTTGGTTGTCCTCAAAGAATAATAATTGAATGATAATATTTCAAATGCATATTCTTTTAAGGAACTTAGAGGGTATAAAATACATGAGACCGGCCTGTGTCCTCAGGGACCTTACAGCCTAAAAGGATTACAAGACATTTACATTTACAAAGATACAACACAAGGTAGTTTATGTTAAGCCAAGTAAATGACACAGTGATTGGGAAAGAAATTTAGAAGAGAGTTAATTAATATGATCAGGAAAGGGTTCAAAGGTGTGAGACTTGAACTTGTCCTTCAAGAATGTAGAATTTGGTTAGAGAGGAGTCTAGGAGAGGGATTTGATGTGAGCAAAGGTCTGTAACTAGAAATGTGCAAAGTGTATTTTTGCTTTTGTCTTTTAGCTTGATGTTGAAATGAACAGCTCTTGAAATTAGTTCTTTGTAGTTATGGGGGCTTAAAGTTGAATCAAGGTTTTAGTTCTATTCAAATGTTACCGAGTGTTTTTGCCATTTTTCAAACAACTATCTTATCACTCTATGTCACCTAGAATGGCAGAGAGAAGTGGATTTCTTAGTTGGTAATTTTTTTCATCCAGGATCCATTCCCTTTTTGAGAAATGTGATACTAAATGTACTAAGTGGAAAAACCATATAATTTGAGGCCTCCATTAATAAAATATTACCTTCATGAATCCTTATTTTATACCAAATGGGAAAAAAGTGGTTGAATTCTCATGTTTATCCTTCTCAGTAGAGACATTAAGAGTGATTTTATTGACACGTGTTTTTTGAACCAGGTAATAGTCAAAGAGTTTTTATCTCAATTTGACCAAATTCATTGACTAGTTGAAGATTCTGAAACACTTTCTCCCATTACAATTATATTTAAAAAGAAGGCCAGTTTTCATAAGGGGCAAATCCTACAGGGATATGAAACAGGAATAATTGATAGATGAGAAAGCTGTAGAGTTTTGAAGTTTTGGATCCTCTCCATTCAAGAGGCAGAGTTCTTGAATGATACGAACTTGAAGAACAGAAGTGATATAGCAGATAGATTAAGTATCTAATGGTTTGAGATAATTTTCAAAAATAGCAAAAGGTAAAGATACATATCAGATAGAAAAGAGCTATTCAGAATACTTTTGAACGAAATTTAAAAAAGAAAAAATTGAGGCAATAAGAAGGTGGTGGTAATCCACACATGAATGTCATGGATCAGATAACAAGATGATAGCGTGGATGATGGCTTTGGTGTTGGTAATTGAGATAAATAATCCTGCCGGAAGTTAAAGCCTAGCGCACTTCTTTGTTGGTACTGGTTCAGTACTTCTGAGCTCCTCCTGGGCAATATTTGGCTGCCTACCCTTAGAATTCAGTACCCTTTGATCTCATTATATCCTGTATTTTCTAGGTCATTGTGTAATTTTGCACTGTTTGATTTTTGTTTCTTGCCGATTCTTGGGGGCTGAGCGTATATAGACAAGAATTGGGCTAATGTAGAAAGTATTTTGTGTCCCCTGTGATTCAGATCGCCTCAACCTCCCAAGTGTACTAGTGCTGAACAGCTGTGGAATAACCTGTGCAGGAGATGAAAAAGAAATTGCTGCCTTCTGCGCTCATGTATCGGAACTAGACCTTTCTGACAACAAACTCGAAGACTGGCACGAGGTAAAGTTTTTATATTGCTGTGTTTGGTAAAAGGCAGCGATAAACATTGTGTTCTTGTTTATGTTGTTATGTATCCTGCTCAATTCTGTTCACACTTGAGATTCTTGTCTGTATGTCTCAAGATAAATAACTGCATCAACTGTATTTGTGGTGATTTTTCAATTAGCTTTGTTATTGCTAATTTGTTTTTCATCAATGTGAAAAGCACTGAGGAACTTCATTCCAGGTTTCAAGAGGTTAATGAGTCTACAGAGATTTAGACTGCTAACAACGCATTAAATTCTCTTATTGTTTCACTAGTTTACATATCCCATGCTCATTCTCTACTTCTACTTCAATATTTATTACTATAAATTGATGTAAGATTGCTGGAGCATGAAACTAAGATTATAAAGATATTCTTGTTACTGAAATTTATCCCAAATATTTTAGAACTTTTCTTATATTATCATGTCCCTTTGGTCGGTTGATATAACTGATGTCTTTTGACCTCAGAGTAACTCTAAGTATACAAATAACAGTGTGATAACATTCTCTCATCATATATAACATTACCTACCTGATTATAACATGAACTGATAGAAGCTACCCTTGAAGAATAAGGGAAAAATAGTTCTTCCTACTTTATTCTCCTGCCTTAATTTAGGCTCTTAATTTTTTGCTTTGACTGTTGGATAAGTTTCCTAATGGGTTTCCCTAGATCTAGCTTTATCCTCTTTCCTTTAAGCTGTCTTTCACAGAGCTACCACAGACTCCTTTTAATAAATGAAACATGGTTATGACACTCTCTGGCATAAAGTCCTTCAGTTGCTTTTCATTGCCTAACAGCTAAGGTCTGAACTCCTTAAGTATGGTCCTTAGTCATATGGCCCTTTGCTATTCCTAGAACTTTCTCTCCATCTTTAGCCATGTACTTTTACTTGCAGCTCATGATAAAGTCTTGATATGAAAAGCTTCCTTGCTTTTATTCATTCTGAACCCATTACTCTCTTTCTTCTCTTGTCTACCTGGCCGCTACCTATTTTTTGCTTTAGGACTTGGCCAAAGTTACTATTCCTCTGTGAAATTTTCCCTGGCTCTCACTCAGACAGATTTAGATTATCCCAGAGCACCTGTACTATGCTGCTATGAAAAGATTTATCACAGTGTAGTGTAATTACTTGCTTACTTGGCAGTTTTTCTACTAGACTGTGAGCTTATTCAAAGTGCAGATTTTTATCTTTTTTATCATCAGCACCCAGAATACTAGGTAGTCAAATGTTTGTTGAGTGTGTTAATGAATAAATGATTATATCTAAGGATTGATCAAGACCACTTCTTCCAACTTTTCATGTGATCTTAAGAAATTCACTTAATCCTTTAACGTTTTAGTTTGCTCATCCATAAGCCAGGCTTACTGATAAAATTAATCATTGAAACACTTAGTAGATATTGAATGCTGTACAAATTCTAAGACAACTTTCTTGTTTAAGAAAAATCTGTCTATAACCTAGTTTTGTTCAGCTTTTCTTATATTTATCTATTTCGTGGTCTTGTTTAATCTGGTAACTGTACTCTTGGTTATACTTCCTATTTTTATTAGAACTTTTCCCAAAATTCTTTGAGATGCGTGTCACCTGATTTCTAAGTGATTTATTAATATATGCAGATTTAGAGGTCTGTTCTAAGAAATAACTTCCATTTGTACATGTATATACATATTTATTTATTTATCTGAACAACTAATATAGTTCACTGTTCAACAAATTACAGTCCATGCCTTCTTGGTCCTCTGAGATGCTTAATTGCCATGCGTGCTCTGCCCACGCTGCACAAATGGCAAAAAGAACTACTTCGTTCTTTTCCACAATCCTCCTAATAGTCCTGCTGCTGAACCTCTGGCCTGCATGGATGACAAGTCAGACCAAATCTTCTTACGAATCAATTCAGCTCCTGTGTATACATACTCTATTCAATCCCCTAAATTTGTTTCTTTGAAATATAAAATTTCAAAAAGATTTTGTGCTTTGAAAATATACATAAGTTTTTGCTAACTGGTGGGAACAGTTTAATAGTGATGTAGTTGCTACTTTAGAAGGAAGATATATGGAATATGGATCAGTACACAGAGTTTGCACTAGGTAAATGGAGCATTTTCTCTGCTTAGACGAAGGCCTAAATTAAATATTTCTCAGACCACATTGCCATATAGCCAGAAGGTCACATATTTATTTGTTGTATGTTTGCACTCAGTTTGTATATTCTTTTTGTGCTCAATAGTCTGTTTTCAGGCAGTTTTCAAGTAAACATTTGTTGCTTCTCATTTCAGATTTCCATTTCCAGTTTACTTTTATTTTCATCATTCCTTTATATTTCCTCCTTATCCTTCCTTAATTATCTTCTAGAGCATATATCAGAACATGGAGGTGAGAGAAATACTGACAGCAAAATAATATAGATTTTTGATTAAACTCTTTGCCAGGCTACAAATGCCTCATAGGTTACTAATTTTAAGACATTACATTTCACCATTACAACCCATATTTCTAATTGCCAAAAAGATCATTTGTCCCTAGCCATTAACTAAGTTTATTTCAGCCAGTAATGAAACAATGTGGAACAAAATAATATAAATGTTCCATTAGTTATTTGAATGGTCACTAATGTTATAGGTTGAGTAACTTGTAGTTTAAACAACTGGCTGCTATATATCCAAGACTAAGATAAATATGGGTGGGCAATATAATACTTTTGGGGAAGGCAAAGACTTGTCTCCACCCTTCCAAAATTGGGCACCTATGTGTAAGAATAATGCATTTTTTAGCTTTTGACTTGAATATTTGGCTGAACAGATTTTTGTCTGACCTTTCCCAAGGTATCTTCTTTTTTTCCCCTTCCTTATCAAAACCATTTTGTAAAAGAAATTAAACCAAGTAGTTGAGAGGAGGGAGGAATTAGCCACTCAGGTGAGGCAGAAAATAGCTGAGTATAAATTACAGATCGTTATCTTAAAACCCTTTCCCTATTTTTCTTAAATCTTCAGTTTCTTCCTTTTTAGACACCTGAGTGGAGGGTCCTCTATTAAATGATAGAATTGTAGAGACCTAAAAGGTGATCTCAGTTCATCTCCATATTTCCTGCACATGAACATGCTTAACTCATTCCAGCTGGAGGAGTCTTTTTATTTTTAGAATTTTAAAAAGGGAAGTCAGTATACTGCCCCAGAAATTCACAGAATGTGAGCCTTCGCTATTGGGAAATTTTTACATTGTAAGTAAATTTATCTGTGTAGTGAATATTATATTTTCCTGAATCTTATCATTAGTTTGAAGTTAACCCACAAAACATTTTTTATTTCACTCTTTTAAAGAAAATATTTCTTTCTCTCTAACATTTGTTATTTTTCCTGCTTAAATTAGATTCTAGTCCACTTTTATCTTTTGGTATATTACAGGGCTAACTGAGTAATTATTCTAAATTTTTATTCTCACTGATGGATGCAGACTATGATGATTTCATCATGTGTCTGCTAGCCCTGGGAAATTCCTAGAAAGCAGTTTCCTAGAAATTGCTTTGAAACCTCCAAATAACACATTTTGAGGTATTTACCTCTTTATTATAGGAGGTGGTGGTTAGCGAAGGGTTTATGTTTTGTTTTTATTTAACTGGAGTTGTACTATAGTTAACAGTTATTCATCATGGTTTAGTTGGAGCATAATTCCTCTCTCTTTTTGTCCCTGCAAAAGAGGTTAACTATAGCTGATCATCATCTTCTGTATGAAAGTTCTTCATATTATTAGTATTCAAGTCATAGAATGCAGTACAGAGTTGGTTCCTGCATGAACTGTTTAGCTATGTTTTGGTCACAAATTAAACTTCAAATTCTAGCCATATATTGTACAAATGTATGGTACCATTTGATCACAGAAGGGATCAAACAAGAGAGTATGTGCAGATTGTTATAAATTCCTTACACTTTAAACAGAAGCCTAGTGTATTTTCTCTAAAAGGTAGTTCATTTCTTCATTTGTAAAATGAGGATAAAAGTGGTACGCACTTCAGAGAGTTAGTAGGTGGAGTAGGTGAAATAGTGAATGTAAGGGCTTTTCTCTCTGACATAGTCCTCTGAACCTTTTTGGAATTAATCTACTTTTCACTGATTGTAGAGTCCCTGAACTGAATGTCCATGGTAGATCTGATGTAAAGTACAGATTACTTTTTCTTTCTACTTTTCTTTCTTTGTACCCCCTGGATACCCTGGAGCTCTGGCATTACCTCTGAAGCTCTGCAAAGAAAGCTATCCAGGTCCCAACCCTGAAGCTTGTCCCACCTGTGAAGCTTCTGACTCAGTAATTATGGTGGAACCTGGGAATCAGTATATTTTTAAAATTCTACCAGTGATTCTGATGGGTAGCCAGGGTTGATATATTGGTTCATACTATACTTATAATATTGGTAATAGTTACATTTATTAAGTAATTTTGTGCCATTAAGGTAGTCAGTAAATGTGAAGTGCCCACTACACAGTAGTGAACTAGGTAAGTACTGTTCTTCCTTTCATAAAGTTCACATGCTATTGAGGTAATTTACATGCTGTTGAAACAAGTTTCAAAAACTATGCCAATTGCCATGCTGAGTGCTTTGCACATGTATCTCATTTAATCCTACCAACAATCCTGTAAAGTAGATGGTACTATTTTCCCTATTTTATAAATGAGGAAACTGAGATTTGAAAAGATTAAGTAACTTGTCTGAAACCACTCAGCTCAGAAGTGTTGGAACCTGGTTTGAATCCAGGTTTTCCAACTCTTATACTAATCCTAACTCCTCTTTTTTACTCCCTTTCTCATAAATTTAGTTACCACATTGCTTGGCTGTTTGATGCTTGGTACAGTTACTGGGCATCTAGCATTTATTGCATACTTGTTTAAATTAGTCCTCCTCATAGAGTTGAGCCAGCTATTCTTCAGTTATCTTTATTTATTTTGTTGTGGTTATATTTATGATATACTAGTTGTGCTATTTTGGCAAGAAAATGGCTCTGATTTTTAAATCTCAGATTTGACTATTGTGACTGTGAAACCTTAGTCAAATTATTTAACATCTCTCAGCCTCAGTTTCTTCATTTATTAAAATGAAAATGGTATTATATTATTTATCTTACAAATTGTTTTGAAAATTTAATGAAATAAGTTATATCAAAGAAACTAGTACTATATAGAACAGATATTTTTGGTCAATAATGCTCATTTCCCTTTTTTTCCTTTTTGTCTACCAGGTTGCTAGCTAAATGTTAAATTGATGTTTTCCCTTTCATTATAAGTTTTGGATGCTTTTTGGTTTTGAGTAAATATATTTTAAAGTTTGGTACATTTTTGAACCAAACTGAAACTATTTTCTGAGTTATTGTGACTATTCCGTCAATTTTGAACACATGAATTGTTACCAGGTGGTTTTTAAAAATCAGGCTTAATGTTGTGCTGAAAATGAGAGGAAGGAGATAGATGTTCAAAGAGAACTACATGATCCAATCTCAGCTCTTTAAAAATTTAAAGCCTAAAGTGTCATCTAAACTATCTTTTCTCCATTTATCAAAGAGAACATCACATAGGGCTGAATCAAAAACCTTGCTAAAGGTGACGTAGGAAATTTTTCTTTTGTACCATAAGTTATGTTATGTACCAGTCAATTATGCCACTATTTCGTAGAAAGATTAATTTATTTGCCAAGATTCGTTGAAATCACTTATGCCCTGATGTAAATGGCCCTTTGCCTGGAGATATACTCACTTAGGCTTTCTTGAGCATGATTGCTATTTAAAAGCTCTGATTGCTGCCTGATAATGTTTTTCTTTTTTTCTCCTTAGGTCAGTAAAATTGTGTCAAATGTTCCCCAGTTGGAGTTTCTAAACCTGAGTTCCAACCCTCTGAATTTGTCGGTTTTAGAAAGAACATGTGCTGGGTCCTTCTCTGGGGTTCGCAAACTTGTCCTCAACAACAGCAAAGCTTCTTGGGAAACAGTCCACACGATACTGCAGGAGTTACCAGAGTAAGCCCAGACGGCATGAGGGAAAGGGAACTATGTTGCCATCTGTGTTAGTACATGGGATAACTGCTGATCTCCCATCTCAGAAATACTAGAGGTGCAGATTAAGTGGAGAAGGAGATTAGAAAAATGAAGTCATTAGAATGAGAGTGTGACGGTAATCTAGTAGCATTTCCAATGGAATAGTGTTCAGTGTTGAGTAGCACCAAGATATAGGATATATCATCCTTGGGCTAAAAAATACCCCTGAGAAGCACTTATCACTTCTAGATCAATTCAGGTTTACTCTATTTTAATCTCTGTTTACCTGATATAATAATTGGGAGGAAAAAATATCACAGTATCTCTAAAACATGTTAACATGTAACATTCAGATGATTAAGTGTCTAGCTGGACTGATGGGAATAAGGACCTGGTATTCTTTTCAGTCATTTAAGAAAGAAATTATACTTTCGTCAGTTTAGAAATGTTTTATTTTTACCTATCTTTGTATATGCACCTAAGTGTGCAAAGAAAGTAGTTTAAAGAAATATATGAAGCTGTAGTTTCTTTGACTGTCTAAATATGGAAATCTTGAAACCCCTTAAGAATCTTAATCTCATTCCATCTTAATGTCTCATGCCCACTCTAATGAGATTGTTTTCTTCACTGTATGCTACATCCAGCATGGTGTAGAATGAGCTTTTAAATACCAGTTTCACATACTAACCATATGACATTTGATGAGGTACTTAATTTCTTTGAGCTGTTGCCTTGTCTGTAAAATGGACATAATTGTATTACTTTCCAGAAATAAGAGTAAAATCTACAATGCACCTGATACAGGGTAGGGATTCAACAAATGATAGTTATAATTTCTAGTTCTAAACATCTGTTCATGTTGTTTCTGGAATTTTCTTTTATCTCCTCTCAACTTATGCAAGTCCACCCCTTCTTCAAGGCTTTGCATCCTTTTCTGATTATTCCAACTACAATTTCAGTTTCATTCCTATATAAATTACTATTATACTTATAGTCAGTACTGCTTAATTTAGTACTTAATTACTTAAGCACAGAATTAATTTAGTACTACCTTATATCATTCTCTGCTATTTCATGTACTTTAGATTTGGTCTTCCCAGGTATATTTTGAACTTCAGGAAGACATCTTTATATTTTTTCTATGATACCAAGCAGAATGTCACATCTAGTAGGCACTTAATTATTATTTATTTATTGAATGAATGAAAATAGGTATAAAGTAGAAACCAAACTGCTTAAAACAATGAAATATTTCCTTTTTTCTCTGCAGTTTGGAGGAGCTCTTCCTGTGCCTTAACGACTATGAAACAGTGTCTTGTCCTTCTATTTGCTGTCATTCTCTTAAGCTACTACATATAACAGACAATAACCTCCAAGACTGGACTGAAATACGAAAGTTAGGAGTTATGTTTCCTTCACTGGATACCCTCGTCCTGGCCAACAATCATTTGAATGCTATTGAGGAGCCTGATGATTCATTGGCCAGGTTGTTTCCTAATCTGCGATCCATCAGCCTCCACAAGTCAGGTGAGGTTCAGGCTTGTTCTCATTCTATATTCAGATTGATGTGAGCTTGTTCATGAAATATAATGAAAGTATATTTCTTTCAGTCATAGCTTTATCTTTTTATAGGATGAATTTTCATCATGACATGCAGATGCCTATTGATTGGCTAAATTTAAGTATTCATTTTCATAAATGTTCTGTTAAATATTAAGTGGCATAGCATTATATTAACAATTTATGTCTTATACATTAAAGGGGTCATGCTATGAAAAGAATGAAATGAAATTGATGAATGGGATAATAAAAGGCAGAGTAAAAAGAGTACAAAGAATTACAAACTAGACCATTTTATCAAGACTTAGTTTAAGTAATCCCAACCTGCTATGCCTTTTCAAATGCTTACTTTTCTATTATCGCTGCATAATTTATTGTCAGTTTATTGCTATCTGATCCTGTGTATCACAGGAATAAGTATATTTAGCTTATTTCTTTTTCTTTTAATTAAAAAAACTTTATTTTTTAGAGGAGTTTTAGGTTTATAGCAAAATTGAACAGAAAATACAGAGAGTTTCCATATATCCTCCATATGTGTGTGTGTGTGTGTGTGTGTGTGTGTGTATAGTCTATCTCCCCCACTATCAACATCTCACACAAATATGGTATGTTTGTACTACTTCAATCATTAAACCTATGTTGACACACTCAAAGTCCATAGTTTACCTTAGTGTTCACTCTTGGTTTTGTACATTGTGTGGATTTTGACAAAGGTGTAATGACACATATCCACCATTGAGTATTTTCAGAATAGTTTCACTGCCCTAAAATCCTCTGTGCTCCCTTTATTCATCCCCCCTAATTCTGGCAATCACTGATCTTTTTACTATCTCTGTAGTATTGCCTTTTCCTGTAGTATTGCCTTTTCCAGAATGTCAACTAGTTGGAAGCATACAGTATGTATCCTTGGCTTCTTTCACATTGGCTTCTTTCATTTAGTTGTATGCATTTAAGTCCTCCATGTCTTGTCATGGCTTGAAAGCTCATTTCTTTTAGTGCTGAATAATATTCCATTTTCTGGATGTACCACAATTTATTTTATCCAGTCACCTACTTAAGGACATCTTGGTTGCTTCCAAGTTTGGACAGTTATGAATAAAGCTGATACAAACATCTATGAGCAGGTTTTTGTGTGGACATAAATTTTCAGTGCATTTGGGTAAATAACAAGGAGTGCAATTGCTAGATCATATGGTAAGACTGTGTTTCGTATTGTAAGAAACTGCCAAACTGTTTTCCAAAGTGGCTGTACCATTTTGTGTTCCCATTGGCAATGTTTGAGAGTTCCTCTTGCTCTGCATCCTCACCAGCATTTGCTATTGTCAGTGTTTTGGATTTTGGCCACTCTAATAGGTATATTGTGGTGTCTCATTGTTTTAATTTGTAATTCCCTAATGACAATGATGTTGAGCATCTTTTCATATGCCTGCTTGCCATCTGTATGTCTTCCTTGGTGAGTTGTCTGTTCAGATCTTTAGCCCACTTCCTAGTTGGGTGTATTTTTTCTTATTGTAGAGTTTTAAGAGTTCTTTTTATATTTTAGATAATAGTACTTTATTGGATGTGTCCTTTGCAAATACATTGTCCTGATCTGTGACTTTTCTTCTCATTCTTGACATTGTCTTTCACCCTTTTTCTTAAAACAACTACATAATTAAAAATAACTGTAACCTACAACTGAAAAAACATAAGCTTAGTTTACTTTACCATAGAGGGTTATAAGGGTGGGGAATAAATTTTAGAAACCAGTATTTTGCATAAGGATGCTGTTTATTTCACAACTTGACACCCTTTTGAGCTAACTGTTCTTCCTCCTAGATGGAAATGCCATTGTAAGGGAAGAGGATGGTTGTGACTTAGGATATTTATGCACCAGAGTCCTCATAAATTGCTCCTCTGCCTTTACCTTTGCTGAAGGTTGATAGAAATAGGTGGGACCACATTGCTCTCTGAAATGGATTCAGTGTGTTACAAAATTGTCCAACTTCATTATTATAGGAATATTTTTCCTACTTGTTAAGTCGCCTGATTTAGAAGTAGAGTATTGCTTACAGCCATGGGGAGAGTTTTATTTTAGGACTAAAAATCTTAATTTGTTGAATATTCTCCTTACCCAAGGATTTAGGTTTTCTGTTTTTGTTTGTTTTTAATTTTGGATCTGTCTCCTCTGTCACCAAAACATGAGGACAGTATGAAAATGATAATACAGTTGGCCCTCCATATTTGTGGGTTCCACATTTGTGGTTCAACCAACTGTGGATCAAAAACGTTTGGAGAAAAAGGATGGTTGTGTTGGTATTGACCACATACAGACTTTTTTACTTGTCATTATTTCCTAAACAATACAGTATAGCAACTATTTACATAGCATATATATAGTATTAGGTATTATAAGTAATCTAGAGATGATTTAAAGTATACAGGAGAATGTGTATAGGTTATATGCAAATAGTATGCCATTTTATACAAGGATCTTGAGTGTCTGTGGATTTTAGTATCTGCAGAGGTCCTGGAACCAATCTTCCACAGATACCAAGGATATTTGGTTTCTGGTTCTATTGACCTTGCCTCTTTCTAGAATTAGTCAAGTAAAAATTTGAATATGACAGTATCAACTCTGATAAAAGTTACCTTCCCATGCGACCCTATTTGAATGAAATGAGTTGATCACATCATTCTTTTTTTATTTTGTAGTCATCCTGCTTATTGAAACCACCAGTTACCCCCTTTATAAGCCATTTTGATAGAGAATCAGTAAATGAGAGGATGGTGGAGAATAAAACTCTCTCACCTTGACTCTGGGACAGGAGATGGGAGAGGATGTGGGGAAATTGTTATAGTGTTGAACTGTACTCCACTCTCTAGTTTATGGTCATTTTAACATTTCAGAAATTATGAATTGAAGTAATTTTTTGCTGTGTTCTTATTTGTGTGCTTTTCTGGATTTACTTACAATATATTTCTCAAATTAGGTTTGCAGTCCTGGGAAGACATTGATAAACTAAATTCATTTCCCAAACTTGAAGAAGTGAGATTGTTAGGAATTCCTCTTCTGCAGCCATATACCACTGAGGAACGAAGGAAATTGGTAGTGGCCAGGTCTGTTGTCCTGATTCTGTTACATTCTTTTCATGGAGCCTTAATGTTTAATTAAAGGGATAACACACTATTTAGGGAGAGTGGACTATGAGTTTATGCATCTCTAGAGCAGACTGTGCTTGAAGGAGCTGCTTCTATAGCTCTAAATCCTGGATGAAAAGGAATGTAAGCAATATGAGGAAAGTGTAAAATATAATTGGGCTGCTGAGACCACTGAAATATTTTCTCACAATTCTATTGTTATGTTTTTTAAGACTTAGAATATGTGAAATCCTGTTTTGGGTCATAAAGTAAAAGTATGTATTTAGGTTATTAAGTATGAAATGTCCAATTTACTTAAGTACTAAGTTTGACAGTTCTTGTTTTTATTGTGAAAGTACATCCTCATTCTTTCAAACTCATGTTTTGGCTTGTGATTACCTTTCACATTTTTTTAGAGCAATTTTTGTGAAACCATGGATAAGTAAAAAATTTGTGTTATTTTTGAATGACTTCCGTGGTGGAACTGGTGCAGTGCAGACAGCTTGAAATATCAGTGAAGTGTTTGGGAAGGATGTGGCTAATGAACGTACAGTACATTGTCAGTGGGTTGAGAAGTTCCGTGCTGGTGATTTTAATCTTGAAAATGAGCCACGTGGATGACCTGAGACCAAGGTGGATAATGATGAGCTGAAAGCTGTAGTAGAAGCAAATCCATCTCAACCTACATGTGAATTAGCAGCAAGGTTTGACGTTACTATTCCAACAATATTGGACCATTTGAAACAAATTGGCGAGGTAAAGAAGCTGGGTAGATGGGTTCCACGTGAATTAAATGAGTGTCAGAAAAGAAATCATCTCAAAGCTTGCCTTTCTTTGCTGTCACAACATAAAGGCAAACCATTTCTATACTGTATTGTTACGTGTGATGAAAAATGGATTCTTCTATCACAAGTGTTCAGCACAGTGGTTGGATAAAGACAAGTGCTGAAAAACAGTCCAAAGCGAATATTCATCACAAAAGCTAACAGTGTTTGTTTGGTGGTTCAGCACTACTATTATTCACTACAGCTTCATGAAACCTGGTCAATAGATTACAGGAGATGTCTACTGTAACCAACTGGGACAAAATGATGACGATTCTTGCACTTAAGCAGCTGAGATGGGTCAATAGAGACTAATCCTTTTGCAAGACAACGCTCAATCACTTGTTGTACAAACAACACTGCTCAAACGATAGAAGCTGGACTTAGAAACTCTCTGTCATCCACCATATTCACCAGACCTTGCACCAACTGACTACCACTTCTTCCAGACTTTGGATCACTTCTTGCACAGAAAAATATTCACACCTGGAAAACACCTTTCACAATTTCATCACCACTCACTCTCCATGCTTCTTCACCGCTGGCATAAAAAAGCCAAAGATGGCAAAACTGTGTCAATAGTTTAGGTGCATACTTTGATTAATTGTACTGCTTCTTGTTTGAGATATAATAAACTACACTTTCGATTCAAAATCAGACATTTCATGTTTAATGACGTAATACAATGGAATAATTTTTATTGTAGTTGTCCTTATTTTCTCTGTTATCATATTGATCATTTAAAATGTAAAAACCTGAAAATTGGGCTATTTCATTAGTGTAAAACTTAAAAGAGCAGCATATTTTCTTCTTGAATATAATAGATTGGCTTAAATATGACTACCATTATTGCCATCTTCTTCCTTTGACTCCTCCTGCCTTTCTCAGCCTCTCCCTACACAAACTCATAGGAATTTCCCATGAGTGTTTATTTTTGTATGAACTTTCAGAAGAAATAAGATTTTGGCTAAAATGCAAGGGCCATGGATCTATGCTTTGTTCTCTTTGTGTACTCTACATAGTGGTTTTGAAAGGGGAGCAAACAGTAGGCTTTCTGGTTCCCTGAAGTATAGTGGTTCTTGAAACAGGGTATTGATCTTTGTAACCAGCTAATGCCTAGCAGATGTTTACTGCTTTGCAGTTGTTAACATACATATTAATATCTCTCTGGAGAAATAAATTTCAGCAGACTTTTAAGAAAAGAAATCTTGCTGTAGTCCTTGTACTTTATTTTCTTTACACAATTCTTTTGCGAATATAAGAAGTTAATTCCTGAATTATATAACCCATTTATACTGACAGCTGTCTAGACCTGTGCTGTTTTATATGGTAGCCACTAGCTATGTGTGGCCCTGAGTACTTAAAATATGTCTTGTCTGAAATGAAATGTTCTGTATGGGTAAAATAGATATTAGATTCAAATACTTTATATAAATAAAAAGTATAAAATAGCTCATTTGTTATTTTTAATATTGATTCCATGTTGAAATGATTATATTCTGGATATATTAGGTTAAAGAAAATATGCTATTAAAATTAATTTTATCTGTTTTATTTTTACTTTTAAAAATGTGGCTCTTAAAGAATTTAAAATTATATATGAGGCTTGTATATTTGTTTAAATGGATGCTAGAATATTATTTTGAAAGGTGAGGTATAATTATGAATGGTCAATGTCACTTCTAAAAATTAAACTAGATTTTTTCAGTTCTTTCATTTTATACCATTTTTAGTTCATGTCAGTAGTTGCACATGAGCAGAACTACATCCATTGTGTCCTTTCAAAACAGTAAGACTGAGTGTCAAACCAATTATTTTCTTTCTAAAGCTAAACATTTTTAGTATCTTAAAACGTCTTTATTTTGGTTTTAACTTATAGATTGCCATCAGTTTCCAAACTTAATGGCAGTGTTGTTACCGATGGTGAACGAGAAGATTCTGAGAGATTTTTTATTCGTTACTATGTGGATGTTCCACAGGAAGAGGTGCCATTCAGGTAAAAAACTCCTCATCACCTTAGCAAAACTCTTTGGAGAGTGTTAAGGCAACTTAAGAACTATTCTTTTAGAGCAAAATCTAATAATTTATTATTGGATTCTTCTTAGAGGACTTTGGTAATAGGTTTTAAACAAAGAAAGAAACACAAAAGCTCTATCGTACCTTATTTTCCATGGTGTATTTCTTTTAGCCTTGCCACATGTATTAAGAATGATTAGGTAAGTGTTTAATTCCAGTGGTTCCCACTGCATACTCCATACTCTTGATTCCTTTTTGATCCTCTTCTATGGGGACACATTTTTATCTGTCCCCAAAATTAATCTTTTCTTGCATGTTACATCTGCTTTCAGGATATACTAAGTTCTTCTGTTCGGAAGATTTGGCAAATATGCAGTAGGTTCACAGAATATAGGGGGAAAAAACTGGAAGATAGATTCTTGATGAAATATTAAAGAAATTAAGATGGTTGAGTTTGAAGAGAAAGGCTGAGGGCTAAATTAGTAATTATCTTAAGTATATAAAGTATTAATATATAAATATATATAGAGAGAGAGTTTGGTAAGGACCAACTACCTTTAACACTCTGTAAATATAAAAGGAAATGTAGCAAGTATGATATAGGCAATTATTAAAAAAATACCTCCAAAGCAGGTTTCTAGGTGTTGGTAGCTAGAATTAGTTACCAGAAAAGTTATATGCTTTCTTTCCTTAATGACTTTAAGAATAATATGAATATCCATTTGATGGGAGGAATTTCACACAAATAGGATACTGAAGTTAGGGCTGAATGTGGATCAGATTAGTTGGTCCTTTGGTTACATATGTTTGTGATTCTAACTCATTCTTATTGAACATACTTATTTTTTCCCCAAAGTTTTCTATTATTTATAGACTTTAAGGGGGTTGATATTCTGTTAGGCTCAACCTATATAAAAAGACTGCTGTATAAAAGGACTTTGTGGTAGTAGTAGTAGTGTTTTAAAGCCTAAGCATTTAACAATATTAGACAAATTAAGTAACGATTTTGAAGATAACCTTTAGAAATTAAGAATAGCCAGCTAGTGGAAAATAGATACTACTATGTTGTTTAATACAACTTAGATATATTAGGTTAAACTATATGAAATGTTTTTTAGGTAAAAAAATGATCTAGGATCTATAGTTTCCTTTGGTTTAGTCTGACATATTAGTAGAAGAAGTAAATGTTAGGCTTTGATCATAAATCTGTCATTACAGTTTACTTCTATTCTGCTACAGGAAGCTTTTGTGTAGGTGTGTATACACCCACACATATATACAGATACATATGTACGTATATACACAAAGCGATATATATATATATACACACACAGTCATACATTGCTTAATGACAAAGATATATTCTAAGAAATCCGTTGTCAGCCAATTTTTTTCATTGTGTGAACATGACAGAGTGCACTTACACAAACCTAGATGGCACAGCCTACTACACACCTAGGCTATACGGTATGTCGTATTGCCCCTAGGCTACACACCTGTACAGCATGTTACTGTACTGAATACTGTAGACAATTATAACATAATGGTGAGTATTTGTGTGTCTAAACTCATCTAAACATAGAAAAGGTACAGTAAAGATACAGTAAAAAGATAAAAAGTCATACAGCTGTCTAGGTCACTTACCATGAATGGAGCTTACAGGACTGGAATTCACTCTGGGTGAGTGAGTGGTGAGTTAATGTGAAGGCTTAGCTCTAGGACATTACTGTATACTACGGTAGACTTTATAATCACTGTTCACTTAGGCTACACTAAATTTATAAAAAAATTTCTTCAATAATAAATTAGCTTATAACTTTTGCATTTTATGAACTTTTAATGTTTTTTTTGTTTTTTTTTTCTTTTTATAAACAAAGATGATAGCCAGTATTTTAATGTTTTTTTAACTTTTTCATGATAATATTTAGCTTAAAGCACAAACACATTATAAAGCAGCACAAAAATATTTTCTTTATATCCTTATTCTATAAGATTTTTTAATTTTTAATTTTTTTTTACTTTTTGAACATTTTTTGTTAAAAACAAAGCCACAGACAATACAAAGGGTGAGATCATTGGACTTTTGATGTTCCCAGGACTGCTGAAAATAATCTGTCACTGACCTTTCTTTTCTATTTAAAAAGTATTTATTAAGTATTTCCATGTGGCTAACACTGTTCTAGGTGTAGTTAAAGTGAACAAAGTTCTTACTTTTATGGAGCTCATGTTCTAATGGGATCTCTCACTGACCTTTATTCATTCCCTAAGAGTCAAAAATCTACAAACTAACTGATTGGCAGTGTTTAGGATGTGTAGTCACATTGTCCCAAGACATAGGGGGAGGGATTATCTGCTCTATTTTAGCTACCATAGTGAGAGGTAAAATCTTGTTTCCTCTACCTTGGGACTTCCCCCAGATAGGAACAATTCAGCAAAAATAACATGTATTACTGTCTGCCAGTGGGATTCCTCAACATCTCTGTGTACCTTTTCCTCATGGTTATTAAAAAAAAAAAAAAATTCTTACCTGTCTTAATGCATTCCGTGTACCAATGAAAATATATTCCTTGATCCTGAAATGAGATAGCCCAGTTCTTATAAATTACTGCATCTATTTTCAAGTCTTAGATCATTGGGTGGTATCCATGTCTTCTTTATTTCTGTATCTTTAATCCTATTGATTCAGTTGTAAAGTTAACCACCCCAGCATATACTCTTTATAAAATAATGGGAAAAATAGAGAAGAAAGAAAAGGAAAGCTACTTCTGGGTTACTCTAGGTTTCATCTACACTCATATATTACCCCTACTATATTTTACCTTTAAAGGACAGTCAAAATTGTTTATTTTGCCTGATAATTAAACTCTTTATTTGAAGGCTTGTGTGTATGATTTTTCCTAGCGATTTGTAGAACTTAAAGTGAGTAGTTGGAAGTCTCAACTTCCAATTGAAATAATTGTTGTAGTACTAGTGGAGACATTCCACTCTTGGATTCTAAAGCCTCTAAACCTAGGAATATGAAATAACAGTTTTGGAAGTTGGTCACATAATCATGAGATGTATTATGTCTTTCAATTTCACCTTGAGTTTGCAGACCTATCTATTCTAAGGAATAACTGGCATCACTTTTGTTCTTCAAAACGCATACTTCCTGAAGAGTTAAATGGGGATATGATATGTAATCATGATAAAGTTTTTAGTGGTGCTGCTGTCTTTCTGGTTCCTTTTCAGGGAAGTGGTATTGCTTTTGGTTTAATGTTTTGGTTTGTTTTTGAGACAGAGTCTCCCTTTGTTGCCCAGGCTAGAGTGAGTGCCATGGTATCAGCCTAGCTCACGGCAACCTCAAACTCCTGGGCTCAAGCAATCCTTCTGCCTCAGCCTCCTGAGTAGCCGGGACTACAGGCATGCACCACCATGCCCAGCTAATTTTTTTTTCTATATATATTAGTTGGCCAATTAATTTCTTTCTATTTATAGTAGAGGCAGGGTCTCACTCTTGCTCAGGCTGGTTTCAAACTCCTGACCTTGAGCAATCGCCTGCCTCGGCCTCCCAGAGTGCTAAGATTACAGGAGTGAGCCACTGCGCTCGGCCAATGTTTTGGTTAAAAGGAGCTATTGACTACCTATTTATTCTAATCCTAAAGACTCCATGATCAATTAGCTACTACAAAATATTCCCACAGTCAGACTATTTTAATTACCATTCCGGCCTTGCTGCCTATTTATGTAATTATGCCTACTTTACCACATACTAGTTAAATGCCACTGTGTGGTCTCTTCCATTCTTCTTGAAATTGAAATGAGCAACCTGATTTCAGTGTCTTCTACCTGCATCTCTGGCCTATAAAGTGTTTTTCAAACATATAAGTCCTCTGTTTGCTCATGTATTTTGAAGTCCTTGGAGTAGAAAGTGTCTTCTTGGTTCTTTTAGGATTCATAGGTGGAGAATAGGTGGAGGACATAGGTAACACAATAATTTCCATTATTCTTGTGTCCTGAAGTTTTTGAGTTCCTCCTTCTAAATCATCCCAAAGAACACGTGGGATCTCAACTTCCTTTAGCATAGAACATCACTGAATCCAGTTTTTAGTAAACCAACTAGACAAGCATTTACTGCCATTCCCCACCACTGAAGATAGCTTTTGAATTCAGAATCTTTGATAAGTGTACCCATGTTAATAAAGCTAGATCTAAAATTGCTTTTCATTCCTGGGCCTAATATACTCAGAATCTATTCCTATGGTTATTTTCTATAAGTTTGTCCATGTAAGTGACTAAAGTCTTGTAATTCTTTTGGTGTTTTTTGTAATTCATCCCACAGAGCATACTGTTATCTGATGCTTGTGGAGAAAGATGTATGTGTGGAAAGGTGAAGCAAATGGGAAACTAGCTTACTGTTAGAAGGGAATTCCTTCAGGAAGGGATTTCTCCCTTTTCAAGAAGGCAAGGGAAGAAGGGCTCCCCAGCTAGCAAGGGGACCTAAGTGAGAATTAGGACACTTGCACTCAGCTCCTCAGAATCCTCCCATATACCTCCATTCCAGCCCTCATTCTCTCCTTTCTAGTCAATGCACCAACTTTGATATAGTAGTCTCAATATGGATGCAAATTTAACTGACTTGCAATTTAGCAACCTGGAGCATCAAACCGGTCCATTTTTTTTTATGGTCACCTCAGCTCTATTATAAAGAGAAAAAAAATCCTTTTCTTAACAGTACTGGGTTTCAGTCTGTGCCTTGAGCCTAGTTTGTAGGGATTTGACTTTAATATTCTCTTTATTTAAGCTATCTTCTACCCTTAGGATACAGATGCTCTACCTTATGGTCTTGAATTCTTTATGCCTTGCATATTGTTCTATTCTTGATAGCACTTTCTCAGTCATGTAGAGCATTCCACATGACCACAAGTGCTAATTAGTTACTTCAGTACTCCATGTCAAGGACTTACAGACTCCCTTCCATGAACACTAATATGATATTCA